CACTACAAAGCGGGAGAGATGGAGGGAAAGGTAGAGAGGTGGAGAGATGAGAGGAAAAGAGGGATGTATAACAGGATGGAGCAATGTTATCTCTTGTTTTTCTCTGCCATCCCTCCATCCTCTTCAAGCTCCCCACAATGCTCATAACAAAGCATGCAAAAAAAAAAAGAAAAAAGAGGTACGGGAGGATGAAAATAGAGGAAGAGGGAGGGTCAGTTTTTCCATCCCTTCAACAATGGAGGGATGATCTCTGCTTATCCTCTAATCACGTCCCTTCTTTTTTTCCCTCTCCTCCGTCCCCTGTTATCTCTCGCTACCCCTCTTCTTCTCATCTGGTGAGAGAAAGGGTAGCCTTTTCCTCTCGCCGGCCTCCCTTTTTATTTTTGTCGCCTCTCCATCTGTTTGTCCTTCCAGTCCTCCCTCCATCCCTCTCTCCTCTCCAGAGAAGGGATTCTGCTGCATGGCACTGATCTCTTCCCACTTTTTCGCATCCCACTTCCTCTCCTCTCTCATTCAACCCCTCTCCTCTTTTGCTTAGATAGGCGAAAGTACCAAACTTTTTAAAGGAGGTTAGTCTGATTCTTGAGGAAATTGTTAAAAAGAGCATATTGAAACTCCTGCAGAAGACATACAAAAACAATATGGTCGCCTATTGGGTATAATGTATTCAGGTAATCAAAAAATACAATCTATTACCGCTCAAATGTATCTTGTAACTATTTAAAGAGCTACATCATTGGGCCTGGAAGGAGGAAATATATAGTGACTGGGAATTGTGGGAAATAAAGCACAAGTGCAACAATAAATAACATACACAACTATCAGTAATGGCAAGATAGCAGCCGCTCTGATGGAGACGTTTGTGATGTTATTTTCCTGACAAAGTGAGTTATGAGTCACATCACCTCTTCAGCTGTCCACTTAACAGCACTGGAGGGCTTTCATTCAGCACTTTGCTACAGCACATTCAGTGTTGTGTAACATAAGGAAAAGAAAACACAAATCAGTTCGCATTTCATATCTGGAGCCGTCGACGAAGTTCATCCGCAATGCAAGTCCTATCTTGCTCACCAGTCCTAAAACAGCCTGTTTTAGTGAGCGCTAAGCTTTGCCGCTGCTTTTGCTGTCGAAATTGCTCAGCTGAGAAAAATGAAATGTGAGATGTAGCTGCTCTACTGGTGGAGAACACAGGGAATGAGGAGTCTGTGCACTGGAGCGTAATTGATGCGATCTAACATCCAACAGCGCCTCTCGGAGGTACCGCCTCGCTACTGCAAACCTTCAGACCTGCAACTCTTCTGATACTGTTGAGCAGCCGCCGTGAACTACAGAAACATTCGACACTTATTTTGACCATCTGATGATGAAAAAGAAAACAGAAATCTTACAGACTTAAATTAAAATCTTATTTATTAATCATAACATTGTTTGTGCAAAAAGCAAACTGTATTTAACAAGAAAACATTATAAAAGGAGGGTAAGAATCACACAAGAGAAAGAGATGAAGCATTATTTATCCATTTCCGTTTACAGTTTCTTTATATTTATATTTTAGCAAATCACACATTTTTCACTACACAAAGGCAACTGAAGTAGCAGTCTGCTGTGTAGTGTGTACCTCAGGAGTGTGTGTGTGTTGGTATGTCACGACCCTGAGCTTCTTTGTCTTTGAGCTGTCTTCATGTGTGTGAACAGTGTGTATAAAAAAACGTGCGTGTGTGCATCTAAGGGTCCTGTGTATGTGTGTGTGTGGGCGAGGAGTGCCTGTCGACCAACATCTCCGTGTGCTTTAAATACTGGGCCGTCCTTCTCATCACAGACTCCCTGCGTATCGGATCTTGGTCTCCTGGACAGACAGACAGACAGACAGACACATAGACAGGAAGACGTGAGGGATTATTATCAAAGAGTATGACAAAATCTTCCCTAAACCTTGTTATCTAACAATTGAAACAGCAGTGCTTAAAGAAAAAAAGCAAGCCATCGAGGATATTTGCACTGAAATAGTTTCCTGGCACAGTGGGATTCGAACTCATGCCCCCAAAAAAGACTTGCACCTTGATCCAGTGCTTTGGACTACTCAGCTACACTACTTCAACACTGTATCAAATTCGCTGTCATACAACTCATGGGGGAAGGTGGGTCAATGTTTCCACCGGCCCAAAAATAGATGTGGGACACATGTTGAAGGCAACAAAGTAACCATAGATAACCCATTAGAGGGCCGTCACATGTTGGCACAGTACACACATACCTATGTTAGTCTGGGAAGCTAATTTAGATCTGTGACTGACTGACTAAAGTATCAAGTACTTTAGTCCCTTTGTATTTAATTTTCATGAGTATCAAATATAATAATAAATGATATTATTTTTGGCTTTAGTTTTTAGTTACACTGCGTCCCTCCAAACCTCTCTAACCCGTCACTGTGCATTGTTAAGGTAGTTAGGTGAAGGTAATTAGCGCTGATGTCTCATCTTTTCTTCTTGTTAAAAACAAAACAAAACTGGAAAATATTCATGTATCTTCCACTTCCTATCTAATCTTTTATTCTATAAAAGTGAAAAAGGAAAAAAATCACCTGAGAATCTGGGTCTGGAGATGTTTTAGACTATCAGTGGTGTATAGCAACGAAGTAGAAATACTTCATTACTGTACTTAAGTTGTGTTTTTGGATATCTGTACTTTACTTTACTACTTATATTTCTGTTGACTTTTACTTTTACTTCACTACATTTTGCAAAGAAAACTGATACTTTGACTCCGATACATTTCCCCTGAAACCTTCGTTACTCGCTACAAAATCAAATCTATCTTTAGAAACAAAATGAATCATGAGACCAACGTCGGGGACTGTGGTGGAACAGAGACTGCAAGCAAGCAGGTTTGGTGAATCTGTGGTCCTAGCGTGCAAGTTAAATCATTGGTTAATCACGTTAATGCGCAAAACAAGTGCTCTCAAAGCCGCGGTGTTTAGATTCCCAGTGATGCCCAGGATGCTATATGCTATAGCTAGCGAGCGACAACACGAGTAGAATTCCACACAGGACGGGTGGGATGAGGAGAGGTGGATGGGTCAAACAAACACTGGTGTTTCCTCCAGGAGGCCGCAGTTTGTGCCGTGCGTGAAACGGGAAGCCAATGTTGATTTATTTGTGACGTGACTTCCGTACTTAAGCAACGCCACTTCCGTAGATATTTTAACGCAAACCACGATCTTTTCCTCAACCTAACTAAGTAGTTTCATCGCCTAAACCTTAGTTGTTTCCTGTGAAGATGGAAGTTTATTTTGGAAAGACAGTATGCATGTAACAAGCGAAAACAGACTCATGCTGCTGGACTTTTGCAGGAAAAACGCACGAAAAATGAGGAGTAACTTTTCGTAAGATATCAATAAAACGGGGATGAATTAATATCATTGTATAAAGAGAGTGACATGAGAAGATCAATCTCATGTCTGTAAGTTAAATCAGCTATAATCACATAGCTTCTTTACATTCTAATAGAATGTAAAGAAGCTACATTGTATAGAATGATTCTGTTGAAGTTATTCCTTTTTTAAATGTTTTAGACGAGTCACTAATCACTTTAAAATAGTGATTATAGCTGCTTACATTTGGTTACATTGCTATTTGCTGTCATTGAAAATAAAATGATGAAATAACAATGTATGTATAGGCTACTTGTATTGTTTAAAATAATGTCAGCAGGGAATTTTGGCCCTTGGGCATTTTCACATTATTAAATCTGGCCCTCTTTGAAAAACGTTTGGACACCCCTGGTCTATGACATGGTACCTTCATACATCATGATCTGCATTTTTCATTCACAAATCAGAAGTTGGAAATGACTTGTTGTGTTGTGCTTTAACACAATCAGTATAAATCCTTCAGCTTTGGATCCAGCTGCTCAGAAAGCACCCTAAAGCTCCAAAAAAATCACTGGCAGCGGTGGGATTTGAACCCACGCCTCCAGAGGAGACTGGAGCCTTAATCCAGCGCCTTAGACCGCTCGGCCACGCTACCCATAGAGTTCTGTCACCACTAGAGACAACTCAGCGAATAGGTTATCCATTAGTGACAAACTAGATATATGGCAGGGCAACAAACAGTTCATCTTTGCTAAAGCAGGACAGTAAATACTAGAACGAAATAACAGTGTTGATTTTACGATGAGGTCACTTGCTGCACATGCTCTGCTGTGTCCTCTGGCCTGCTTGCGTTCATGTGTGTGTATCAGCTGTGTACATTGCATTTGTCAGTGTGGTGGCGTGTGAGCCGCACATCAGAGTATGTAGCGCAGAATAAATAAGGTATACAAGATGTAGGAGTTAAATGCACGATGTGATTAGCTTATTTGCACACAAAGCTGGCCTCATGCAGGAATGGGCATGACAGAGTGCATTTAGGTAAAGAGCCATATTGAAATGGGTGAATTGGACTGTGAAAGTGCTACAGTGTTACAGTGCTACATGCTGGACTATTGCTGAACTGAATACTTTAGCACCACCCTATCTCCTCACCCTGTACTCCAGTGATCAGGATATCCACCGCCGTCCTGTATGCACGAATGGCAGAACTAAACTCTCCCTCCTTCTCCCTCCGCATTGCAGCTGTCAGCTCAGCGGCAGCTTGGTTTAAGTAACCCACGTCCGCTCCGTCCAGACTGGTGGGCGGCAGCGAGAACAATTCTGAGTGGTCACTGGAGGAAACGGATTTATCTGCAATGGAGAGAGAGAGAGCAGAGGAAGTTATTTACTAGTACAGAAATGCAGAGCAAAAACTGTGGTTTAAAAACAAAATATCACAAAAAAAAGGGGGGAAACATTGTTTGGTTCCAGCTTCTTACACGAAATAATTAGCTGATCTAATATGATAGCTAATGTAAATATTTTGGTTTTGGGGCTGTTAGTCGAACAAAGCCAGCACTGTGTAATGTCAGACATATTATAGCTAGAAATGTACCAAAGACTGAAGAAGCAGGCGGTAATTAGATTAAGAAAGATTTGAAAAGGCTGTGAGCAGTGGTATTGTGTTATGTGTATTCATTCACATGTATGTTCACCTTGTTTGTAGCAGGGATCAAAGACAGCCAAGTCATTATCGGTCAGAGGAGGTGGACCTTCCTCTTTAGGGGATGGGACTTGCTCTTCTGTCCCGGAGTCAAACAGTGAATCAAATTCTTCCTGGGACTCTTGTGATTGGCGGTCTCTGGCTGGGTATTGGTCAGGAGACGGAACTGGAGGTGGAAACATGGCCCAAAAGGACAAAACAAGAATAATGAGGAAAAGAAAAGTACACATCATTGTTAAATGTTGGCTGTTTCTTTGTTGTCTCCTCTGTACCTCTGTCATCCAGCTCTGCATCGCTAAGCTCCTCCTCTTCTTCTTCTTCTTCTTCTTCTTCTTCGTCTCTCGGAGAGCCTCCCATCTCGCTGTAAGCCTCAGCTGCCACCTCCGGTTCTCCCACGTCTAAGCCCACGTTGGTGCCCAGGTCCTGGGGTAAAGTGGGAGCCTCCCTCCCAACCTCCTCCTCTGCTGGTTCACAGTCAGAGTCCCTCCGCTTGGGGAGGGGGATGAGCGGGGGAGGCAGAGGCCCGGCAGAGGACAGAGGGGGGGTGTCCAGAGGCCTCGTGACTTCACCACTCTGAGAGCGGGGAGGGAGAAAGAGAGGAGAACGTGGTAGATGTAGGAAGACAGCGAGACAGGGAGGTGGATAGAGAAAATGAAGCGAGTAACACTAGGACTCTTGGTCTGGCATATGTTTTGTGTTTCACTTCCTGTATGTGTGTATGTGAGTGTGTCTCACCCTGAAGAAGTCCTTGAGCTGTGGACTGTTGTAGAGTGCAGGTATGTTGGTAGTAAACAGAAGCATGGCCTCGGTAGCATTCCTCCTTTCTTCAATCACGGCCTCCTCAAACCTCCCTGAAACAGAGGCAGAACATTTAAGAACGCCGATGTGGATGAGGATGCGAGGACTTTACATTGCATGGGAAACACAACAGGTGGAAGATAAACTGGGCAACCTTACAATGTTTGTTTTTAGGGGGAGACTTTTAGATGCGTTTATTCAAATTGATTGACATTTGTCAGGCTGTAGTTCACAGTGTTGTTCAGGAAATATCCCGTCAAGTGAGGGTTTGCCATGGTGCTTTCAACCAATACAGCACAGCAGCTCAAACCGCACAACAACAGGAGACTGTCTCTTGGTATTTGACTCAACTGCATTGCTGCCTTTGCGGTAACCGCCAAAAAAATGAGGTAATCGGCCGAGGGGAAATGTCACAGGAGTCATGACGAAATGCTAAAAGCTGCCAAAGTAAGTCCTCATCAGAAATGACTGAGAGGACACTTAACAGGACAATTCTCTGACAGTGTGACAACATATGTAGCGTGGAATGAGTTATTTCTGATATTTAACAACCCAGTTAGTCTTAGCACTTGTCCACCATGCTGGAATTGTGAGCATCTACAATGCACCGCCATCTTCGCCCCCGTACCAAACACTTGCGCGCGGGGAAAAGACGGAAACTCCTCCTGTCGTCTGAACAGGTTCCTGTGAGTGTAGGCCAGCTCCCCGTGGAGCTTCTTCAGCTCGGAGAACCTCCTCCACACCACCACCTCCTTCACGTCTTCCGGATGGCGCTTGGACACAAACTACAGAGGACAGAGGAGGAGAGGTTGTTTCACTAAACTACATGTTGAACATCAAGTTTCAAAAAGTCATGGATCAGTTGTTCTGTGCAAGTATGTTTGTGTATAAATAGAAGGGAGGGTGATAAAGGCTCAGGTCTATGAAGATATGATCTGACTATTGACTGTGTGTGCATGCCTGTGCAGACCACGGGGCATTAGTGTGGTCATGCTGGGCTGAAACACATGAACTGAATCACAAGTTCGCCCCTGCTACACCGCCTCAAATAATAGGCTCGTTGTGTGTTCATCTCTCTGCCTGCAGAGCCTTTGTTTCTTCATGACTAGTAACGCTACTGATGTTACTCACTTCATTGTGTTGTAAACCAATAACAGTACGTCTGACCGAAGGGCACGACACGCGAAGCAATGTTTGTGTATTTAAGAGAAAGAAAACATGACAAACCACATGAAAATGAGCTTAATTATGAAGTATAAGTGACAACGTAAGTATTGTAACGTCAGCTAAAGAGAGATAAAGAGTGTAAACCAACCCTCGCTGTCACTTTGTACTCGGTGTGTCCCTTCTCGTGTGTGCGCGGGTCGGTAACGGTAAAGAAACGGTAGTATTCATCTTTGGGTTTTCGTGACATGTCCGTTCTCGGTGGCGACAGAAAGAAAACAAGCAACAGTGTGTTTCAGTGGCTCAAAACACAAGTGTCAACGCTGCTGCTGCTGCTCTGTTGTGATTCCTCGCTCCCTCCTCTCCGCTCATTTCCTGTCTGGTGACGTTGACCAATGCGTGATGACGTTCTGTGGCGTCAAATTCAACGTCGGTTTTTTTAAATTTTATTTTGTCCAATTTAAAAATATTTTAATTTCTTATAATCTCATTCTTATTAGTAGTAACAGTAAGTGTTGTAAAATG